CTTTGGAGCTGCAATCCCTTTCAGGGTTATAAATAAACTATTAAAAACAGAAAGGGGCAAATTTTTAAAGAGGTATGTAGGACGCATTAGAACAAATTCTATTAAACATGAATAGATTTTGAGTATCTGGACTTCTTTTAATGCTTTAAAATAGCTCTTCCTATAAAAATATCTGCATGTCATCTTTTTGTTTATCTCTCTCCCTGTATGGTGTCACATCTATACTTTTCTGAATTTTTCTGTGTGTATGTGTTTAAAGTTTAAAATAGATTTACTTGTTAAGGAAAAAACAGTTGAAATTAAGTAAATAGAATATTAAATCATGACTTTTACAGCTTAAATTCAATTAGCAGTCACTATTCATGCTATCATCTATAAAACCTTAGTAATTAAAATAAGCTTTATGATATAAGAGCAGGAATGTATGCTTGGATGTTTTGAACCAAAGGATTTAATTATTGATTAAGTAATTGATTGATTATGTGCTATCAAGTTGGTGTTGGTCTAACTTAATTACATAGATGCCCATGAGTATCTGTCCCAATTTCTGGTTCTTAATTCTTCTAAGGGTGCACCCATTTGCCTTAGTCCATCCTCCTTCCTTCCATGTTTCAATATTAGAAATTTCTCCAGGTTATTTATTTGTGTTTCCTTTGAAATACTGAAAGACATTATAGAAGTTTTGACAGGTTTATACCAGTATTACCAAGGATGATGGAATCAAAATGCTTACGGTGTCTTCTGCAAGAAAAATCTGTTTTTTCATTCACCTGAACTTACTGATCTGTACTAGTATCACAATATATGTGGCTCCCATGGTAGTATTGATAAGTATTTTACACTCTCCAGCTTTCCTGCTTTAAATATCTTGGCTATATTATTCATTCATCATAATCCCATTTAACTTGAAATTCTTAGGAAAGTCAGTGCAGTTACTGACTTGACATTTGGTTTGGCTCGGTTTCTGATAAATTCAATGTATGTACTTTTTGGGGAAAAAATTCTTATGACAATGCATGTTGTTCATATTTTGTCTAATATTTGCATTTTCTGCATTTTCTGCATGTCTGCTATGTTGTAAAATATGATTAACTTTCTAGGAAATATTTTAATAAACTTTGGATATTAAAAAGCATGCATATATTTTCTCATTATTCTGCAGCCCCTTGCTATTTGAATTCACTTAGCGAATTCACTTAGAAAATTCAAATTCATTACATAATTTCCTATACAAAGGGTCACATTTCTACAGCAGGTAGCAGTATTTCTGCATTTTCCTGGACCAATTATATCTTCTTTAGAAGGACTGTTATATATGCAATAACAGGGAAGATATCAACTTTTTGTAAAGGCATCAGCAAATATAGTCCACAGGCAGAGTATATGTGGGACCTCACTCAATAGGGATCTTAGAGTCCTAGTGGACAATCATTTAAATATGAGCCAGCAGTGTGCTGCAGCTGCCAAAAAAGCCAACACAGTGCTAGGCTGCATAATCAGAGGAATAGAATCAAGATCACATGAAGTGTTAATATCACTTTATAATACCTTGGTAAGGCCATACTTGGAATATTGCATCCAGTTTTGGTTGCCACAATGTAAAAAAGATGTTGAGACTCTAGAAAGAGTGCAGAGAAGAGCAACAAAGATGATTAGGGGACTGGAGGAAAACAGGAAAACAGAAATTAGAACTAGAAGAAGTTATGGGAATACAAGTGATAAAGAAAGTTAAATACTTAGGAATATGGTTGACAGCACATTGTAAGACACTTAAGGAAAATAATTATGATAAATTGATGCAACAGGTAAAGAAGGATTTAGAAACATGGGGCAAGCTGCAACTTTCATTATTAGGCAGGATTGCTGCTATTAAAATGAATATTCTTCCAAAATTCCTGTATATATTTCAGGCGATCCCAATCAAAGTACACAATTTTTTTTTTGAAGAACTTAATAAAATAACTGTAAAATTTATCTGGCAAGGGAAAAAACCTAGAATAAATTTAAAGGCAATGCAGGATATGAAGAGCAGGGGAGGGCTGGCACTTCCAAACTGGGAGTTGTATTATAGTGCAGCCTCTTTAGTATGGTTGAAGGAATGGGTGAATTTAACCAATAAGAGAATATTATTCTTAGAAGGCCATGACTTGCAGAGGGGGTGGCATGCTTTTTTATGGGATGTAGGGAAAACTAGCCAGAGATATTTTCACAGACACCTAATCAGAGACTCATTATTAACTAATTGGAAGAAAATACGGAAAAAACACTATTTAAAAATACCAATTTGGATTTCAACAATGGAGGCGATGATTCACCCAAATAATCTGGATATCACTAAAATGATTAAATATAAAGACCTATTGGATACACAAGTAAATTTGAAATCGCGGCAAGAACTTCAAGAGCGGGGACTAAAAATTGATCAGTGGGCATATTTTCAAATTCAAAGTAGATATAAACAGGACAAGAAAGAATTTGGAATTAACAATAAACTCCAGCAATTAGACAAAATTTTATTAGGATCAAGCAAAACAACAACAACAAAATTTTATAATTATTTATTAGAAGTAGAATTAGAAGAAGAAATTGTAAAAGGGAACATGATAGCCTGGAGTAGGAATATAGGACGTAGCATCACCATAACAGAATGGGAAAAGGTCTGGGGTAGAAATAATAAAATTACAAAATCGGTAGCATACAAAGAAAACGCCTATAAAATGTTTTATAGATGGCACCTTCCTCCTTTGAGATTAGCGAAGATACACCCCAATATGAGTCCGAATTGCTGGAAATGCAAAAAAAAAAAAAAAAAGAGGGAACTTTTTTCCATATTTGGTGGTCCTGTACAGAAGCTCCAAAATATTGGCAGAAAATTAGAAATTGGCTGGAAGAAATGACAAGAGAACAGATCGAATTCAAACCAGAGTCCTTTCTGTTAGAGATCTTTGATAAACAAATATCAAAAAAAGTGAAATATATAATAATACACATTTTGACAGTGACCAGATTGGCTTTTGCACAATGTTGGAGCCTCATGTTGCAGCCTCATGTTCCATCAGAGGAGATGTTCATTCAAAAAATTTCAAGTTGTGCAGAAATGGACAAATTAACTTTGGCATTGAAAAATAAAGACACTTCAATATACTACAACAGCTGGAACTGCTGGTACAAATGGATAGACCAAAGATAGACTTCACACTAAAAGGCAAAAGACAATAGGATAAATCCATAGTAGTGATACACATATATATGTAAGGATTAGGTGTGTGTTTATGGCATAAAAGAAGGATAAAAAAGAGGTCTTACAAACTGTTGAAGATGAGAATATTTTTAATTGTTTTCTAATTTTTTCTTTCTATTTTCTTATCCCTTTCTTCTTTTTCTTTCTTTCATTTATGTATGTGTTGTTGGTTTGTTTTAATTGTAAAATCAATAAAATTTATTTTTAAAAAAGAAAAAGTTACTGTTTTTTTATCTTAAAGTAGGATTCCCTTTCATCCTCATCATGAGTCTTATCCACTTACATTATAAAAGTGCAGCACCTCATATTAATTTCCTAGGACTAAGTATGGTAACATTTACAAAAGATATCACAAAATGCTTAGCCATTTAATAATCTTGTCAATGGTTATCTATTCAGAGCTATTATATTGCATCTCATATAGATTTATCCAAGATGAAGGCCAAGCTGAATACAATTAAAGGAATAAATAATTTTCGTAGAATCACTGGTGGTCATTCATTAGATATAGACATACAAGTCTTGTTCAAAAGCAGGAGAAAAGAAACCAGTTTCAAATTACTTCATGCATTTATAAGTTATAGATACAAGTCTGATGCCTTATTTGATCATCTTAGCTGTCTATATAATATATATGCATAGTTTTACTTTTGGGAAAGGTGAAAGTACTTGTTTTCCTTTCAAGTAACATTTTATCATTCTTCAGACAAATCATTATTGGATGAAATTGTTTCGTATCCTTCCTAAATATCAGACAATTGATTTAGGTTCAGTTTCAGCACAGCATCTAAGTACATATTTAATTTCATACCTATATTTGAAGCCCTTTGAACGTTATATGTAATAGATTTTTTTATGATTTATGAATTTCTAAAGGAAGACAGAAATGCAGAAGACATCTTTCAATGGGAAGATAGGTATGTTTCTAGATGTTCAGTTTCTAGAGTAAAATAATATGTCTTTGTAACTGATACAGTTAGCATTTCTATATTTTCATTTTTAACTGAAATGATTAAAAAAGAGGAAACTGCAATGGTGTGCATAAAAGAAGGTTTCATAAAAACAGCCTGGTTGTTTTTGTAGGAAAAATGTAGGAAAAACAAAAGAGATCATTGTCCCAAAGGTGATTTTTCAAGAGACAACTGGACTTTCTTGTTTTTCGTTAAAGATGTTTTGCTTCTCATCTAAGAAACTTCTTGAGCTCTGACTGGATGGTGCATAACGAAAGTATTTATATTCCTTGCAGACAGGTCATTTGCACTCTTTTAGAGAGTTGTTGAGGCCACTTGGAGGTTTATCTGTGTCCTCAGGGTCACCTGAATAGTGCAAATGGGTGTGGAGCCTTCTTGGAACTGTGCTGTATACTGGAGATAGATGATGTTGTCCCCGCCCCCCTCTGTTGAGAGAGGGCTATTCAATTTTGACATAGATGGCCTCTTTGATCCCTCTTTCAAACCAGCTATCCTCTCTGACCAAAATGTGTCTGTCTTCAAAAGAGTAGGCTTTGGTTTTTAAATGCAGATGAACTGCTGAATCTTGATCTAATGGGTTTTTGGCCTATGTTGTGCCATGCATTTATGAAGTGGTTGTTTGGTTTCCCCAATGTACCGATCTGCACATGTCTCACTGCATTTTATTGCATATATACCACATTGTTCAGTTTGTGTCTGGGTGTTTTATCCTTGGGGTGGATAAGCTTCTGCCTTACTGTATTCTTGGGTTTAAAGAATGCATGAACATTTCTTCCGGAGGTGGAAGGAAAAAAAATTCCACCTCCCCTTTTGGGTCCCACTTTCTCCTAGTTGTTTCCCAGGGGGCTCTTTCTTCTAATACTGTTAAAAGTTCAGGATAAAAAGTGTCTCACCCAGATCGATCACACTATTCTTCTGTCTTCCTCACTTCCTTCTGGTGGCTGTCCCAGCTTTGGAGCAGTGCACAATGGCTGCCTTCCTGGCTGTCAAGTTGAAGAGCCTTATCTGGGTCACTAATGAAGATTGGGGGCTCCTCATGATCCGCAGATTGCACTCTTTCTGTTCATCACCCATACAAGGCAATTTATGTCTGTTTGGACCCCCGGAATCCTGGGTTTTGACAATCCCCCACAGAGCTTCCATGGGGCATATTGTGTCGCCATAACATCAGCCCCACCCTCCAACCTTGTTAACACTGAAGACTCTTTTTTCAGCTATGTGTTCTAAATGGTCTGTGATACATATATATCAGAGGTGGTATTCAGTTCTGGAGAACTGGTAGCAGAAATTTTGAGTAGTTTGGAGAACTGGCAAATACCACCTCTGACTGGGCATTCCCCTGCCATGCCCACCTGCCATACCTACCAAGCCATGCCCACAGAACTGGAAGTAAATAATTGAATCCCACCACATATACATACATACACATACACATACACACACACACACACACACACATATATATATATATATGTGTGTGTGTGTGTGTGTGTGTGTGTGTGTAAGAGCTATGGTGGCATAGTGGTTTGAATGTACAATTGGAGGCTAATTCTCCTGATTGCCAGCAGTTCAATTCTCACTGACTCAAGATTGACTCAGCCTTCCATCCTTCCAAGGTTGGTAAAATGAGGGCCCAGATTGGGGGCAATGTGCTGACTATGTAAACCACTTAGACAGAGCTGTAAAGCATGTGCACTTGTGTGCATGTGTGCGTGTGTGTGTATACACCCACCCACACCCACCCACCCACACCCACCCACCCACACCCACACACCCCACAGCATAAGTATATGTATATGTGTTATGACCCAGATAGTCACGGTTAGGCATGCCAAAGAATTCTTTGTTTCTTTTGGGAATGGTCAAACAAATGATCCTCCACTGACCAGTAAGACTCCACCCTTAGTCCCCCAAACAAAAGCCCATAGTTTACTTGGAAAGTCCACAAGACAAAAGTCGAGGCATAACACAAGGGCAGTTTCAAAGTCAAAGTACTCAGGGCTAGGGCAAGACAAACAGCAGGCCATAAAACAAGGTGGGATCCAAGGCAAAAGCAGTTCCAAAGACAAAGTCTTAAAGGCTAGAGCAAGCTAAGAACAGTCCTCAAAGCAAGGCAAAAACAGTCTTCAAAGCAAGGCAAAAACAGTTCTCAAAGCAAGGCAAATGACATCTTTGAAGCAAGGCAAAAGTTCTGAGTCAAAGCTGGGGAAGTGCAATCTTAAAACAAACACTTGTTCATGCAAAAGCCCTTCCTCATGGTGTCTTCTTAAATTCTACTCTCCAGGTGAATCTCATGAGGAGACATGAGGCGCCCTCCTCCCGAGTAGTTGGTTTGCCCTGCACTGACTCTGCCTCCTCTCCATTCTCCATGCTTGGGAGGAGAGGCATTTGCTTGTCTCCGGAGTTCTGCTGCTACTCTGCTCCACTTCCTGCCCTTTCCATCTACTTTTTATTTATGTATTTTATTTTATTTTATTTATTTTGTCAAGCGATTATAAGATCGGTATAAGTAGTTATGAATACATGAAATTTTGTCAAGCGATTATAAGAACAGGTATAAGTAGTTATGAATACATGAAATGGATACATATAAGAAAAATAAAAAGAAACAATAGGACAGGGACAGTAGGCACATTGGTGCACTTATGCACACCCCCTACAGACCTCTTAGGAAAGGGCTGAGGTCAATAGTAGAAAGTCTAAGGTTAAGCTTTTTGGAGTTTGGGGATGAAACCACAGAGTCAGGTAGAGTATTCCAGACATTGACCACTCTGTTGCTGAAGTCATATTTCCTGCAATCAAGTTTGGTGCGGTTAACCTTGAGTTTGTATCTACTGTGTGCTCTTGTATTGTTATGGTTGAAACTGAAGTATTCATTGACAGGTAGGACATTGCAATATATAATTTTATATACTATACTTAGATCGGACCGAAGGCGGTGTAGTTCTAGGTTTTCTAGGTTTTCAACGATTAGAGGAGTGGAGAACTTTTCTTGTGAAATATTTCTGCACTTTTTCAACTATATTAATATCAGATATGTAATGCGGGTTCCAGACTGATGAGCTGTATTCCAGTATTGGTCTAGCAAATGTTTTGTATGCTCTAGTTAATAGTGTGATATTACCTGAGAAAAAGCTACGTAGAATTAGGTTAACAACTCTTAATGCCTTTTTGGCTATGTAGTTACAGTGGGCTCTAGCACTTAGATCATTAGAGATGAGTACTCCAAGGTCTTTGACAAAGTTTGGATCATCAACAAGGTCTTGACTATTCAGCTTGTATTTTATTTTCTGATTTTTTTTGCCAATATGTAGATCAGAGCATTTATTTGTTGAGATTTGAAGTTGCCATTTGTTTGACCATTCTGATACATAGTCGAGGTCTTTTTGAAGGGTAGCAGTATTGTTTGTGGTGTTGAATAGTTTTACATCAGCAGCGAAGAGAATGCAGTTGCTCTTAATATGATCACAGAGGTCATTTATGTAGAATATGAAGAGAGTTGGTCCTAGAACACTGCCTTGGGGGACACCACTGTTGACAGTGGTGTCCCCCACTGTCCTTCCCCCTTCCTCAGTCAGCCTGCTCCCTCTCTTCCTCCCTGCCTACTTTTCTGAGGCCCAAGGGACCCAGGACTGTCTCATCCTCAATAGTGCTTGCTTGGTGGGTTCGTCAGTCGGAACTTTGACCCTCATCTCATCTCATCTCCTATCTTATCTTATATCCTATCTTATATCCTATCTTAACTTAT